GGCAGAGGAGACAGTTTTCAGTCTAGGGAGAGAACTGCCATAGAGCCCAAAAAGACTGGGGAAGGAGGGGGATGTCAAGAGGGCTACATCCCTTTAGGCACCCCCTAGGATACAGAGCCCATGGAATCATCATGATGCCCAGGGGTCGGGTGGCATTTGCCTTAGGGACCCTCTTTCATACCCTTGGGGGAAATCAAGGCCAAATCCAGGGATGTGCCTGCCGGCTCCATTCCTGCTCCAAGACCTATATTCTGGAAGCATCTGTATCCCATAACACAACAGTGGGGGCTGCTCTCCCAGCCCTACACAGTGCAGAGGACCTCTTCAGGACATTCTGACCCCTGAGGAAGTAGAAGCTCTCCTTGGCACCCACAGGGCTTCCCATGCTGGGTTTGGGAAGTGTCTTAGGGCCAGACCAAGTAGCAAATGCACTGACCAGGGCTCTCTGTTGTTTACTTCTGGGGTCAGAGCTGACCAGGGCCAGAGTCCTCTCTGAGGGCATGGCAGGAACAGCTACTACCATGGTAATTTTAATGACACAGGCATGTCTTGAGAGCCAGGTGGGTGTGCACATGGCTTCCCCCTCAGATCAGCTCTGTGAGATGGCTGCTCTTATCTTCTTTTATAGAGAAAGAAACTGAGGCCCAGAGAGGGGCACGGACTTGCCAAGGTCTCGGGGCTGTCTGCTTTTCAAGTCTGGACACTTCAGTTCCAGGATGGGGGGCTGACTGGGTATCAGAAGGCACAAGGATCCCTGGGAGGGTCTTGGTGGGAGGGGACTGGTTAGCGTCACAGTTTAGAAATAGACTTGTAAAGCCCTGTCAGGGCTCCCACGGTGGTAAAAGGGCCTCGTCTAGAATCCTTAAGCCAGGTCTCCTGTTTCTGTTTCCTGTGGTCCCTCCTGAGGAACTTAGAGCTGTCAGCCTCACTGGGCAGCCCAGTCCTGAGCCTGCTCCTGCCTCAGCCCAGGCCAGAGCCTCATGCTCCCCAGTGATCCTGAGGCAAGGGTGTGGAAGCCCAGATAGCAGGAAGGGGAGCGAGTGGCAGAAACAGGATGTCAGGGAAGCAGGAGGACTCACACACATGCACACACAACTCCGCAGAAGGCCAGCAGCCCAAGGAATTGCCATGCCAGGCAGACCACCATCTGCCTGGTCTGTGACCTTAAGTGATATAAGACGGGATCTTGGTGCCAAGGTCAGCGCTTGCTGGGCATTATTTAATCCCCACAATCATCCTCCCTGGTTGGTAGAGCTCACCCAGTTGTACAGATGAGGAAACTGAGGCCCACAGTGTTGAAGTGACTTGCCTGAGTTCAGTAAGTGGATCAGCAAAGACAGCAACATGGCCAGTCTGCAGCCAAGTCCATACCTGTGACCACTGTGCCACTGCCCCTGAGACCAGCTCCCATCTGACAGTGAGCACAGTCTTACTTGCCCAGAGGGCTGTGGAGAGAAGACATCACATCCGTGACTGCACCAGGCCCAGCAGAGCTGGACACACAGCAGGTGTTGACCCAGTGGTCACTCCCATCCTCCTCTTCATGCCTCTGTCCCCATCTGTGCAATTGTTGAATAGGGTGAACTACAGGGACCTTGGCAGGCAGCCACACATGCCCTCAGGCCCAGGCAGGTCTGGACGCTTTCCTGATGGGCTTTCCTGGGGTCCCTGCAGCAGCCTCCTCCCAGACCTGTCCTGATCAAGCAGCTCTCCCTCTCCACCTGTGCTACCTCTGGGTCCACCTGGAGGGATGGGCCACTCCCATCAGGACATCTTGGACAGTTGCTTGTTCTGTTGGGGCCACAGTTCAGCTCTGTGACTTCAGGGGGATGGAGCTATCAAGGCTGGGCCACCTCACACAGGTACATCTGGGGCATCAGCATTATGCACATGTATTGAGGCACCTGGCCAAACACCTGGTGAGGAGGTGGACCCCTGTGCCGGCAGCCCCTGCCCTCACCCCCGGGAATCACATTGCTAACTTCCCCTTTGCCCCATGATTGAATCCAGCTCTACCCTCAGGGATCTCAGCCTGGAGGTGCAACAGGAGGAAGCAGGGCGAATCCTTCTATCCACCAGCTCAGGGGTGTTGTGGGGACAGTGTGGGGGCAGGTAGGAGGCTTCTCCTTGGAAGTGACACTTAAGCACCAGGCACATGCTTGCTCAGTAAGTGAAGGAAGGAAAGGCCTCCAGGCCTAGGGAGCTGCTGGAGCCAAGGCCTGCAGAATGGGGATCCCTGACAGGTTCAGAGGCAGTCACGACCTTGTGGCCGACACGGAGTGGGGGAGTGTGTGTAGATGGGAGAGGCAGCTGGGCCATGTTGGAGGACGTGAACACCAAGCTGAGGATCCTGTATTTTTTGAAAAATGTATGAATTCATTTGTCAGGGAGTTGGAAGGGAAGGCATCCCATGAGGGGCCCAGTCTGAATAAAGGCAGGGGGTGGAAGTGAGTGTGCAGAGATGGAGGGTTGGCCCAGACAGGGGTGTCTAGACCCCTCTGGGAAGATGATATACTGATCTCCAGAGTCTGGTGGACTCTCCTGAAGTCAAGAAAAATCACGCAGCTCAGAGGAGTTATTGCCTTCTGCTGTCCAGGTCCCCTCCCGCACGGGCCAGGGAGGAACAAAGGGATGAGCCGGCTGCCAGGAGGAAGCCCCGCTCTCCAGCCCAGCCTCTTCCTCCTCATTTGATGAACTTGGCAGAAGGTCACAGCAGGGGCCCACTGGTGGCCCATCCTGCCCACTCGGGATTTTCTTCAGGTTTCAATGCACGGGGGAGGCATAACATCTGGAAGGGGAGCCCCTTCTAAACCCAGCTGTGAGCGGCTTGCCCCAACAGAGTGAGGCCTGTACTTGTAACCGGGCCTTCAAAGGCTCATTGTCTCTGGTCATTTGTCCTCATGTCTGTCCAGGGGGTTCTCTCCTAGCCTATGCTCTATGCGCTGCCTCTCCCCTGCATTGGGCCTTGGTGGCTTTCATCTATAATTGCTGTCACTTATCTGTCTCTTCTTCCATCCACACCTGTCACCAGCAGCCAAGGCTTCCTAGAACACACAGCTGAACCTGTCCACAGTGTGCTTCCCGTGCGGGCACCCTCCTCCTCAGCATCTTGGTTCCCCAGCACAGGCTAGGGCCAGTTCACCTAAGTGAACAGCCTCATCCCCCAAATGACTGGGTATTCAGAACTGCTCTAGGTTGGGGGTGCTCACCCCCCAGGGCCAAGGAGATAAGCCAGGTAGACCACAGGGTCTGACTTCTGCCCTCAGTCCTTTCCTGGCACCACCTCCTAACTTGCTAACTTGATACCTTTAAAGTTGGTGAGAGAGAGAAAAAAAATGGGTGCCCAGTGTAGAGAAGAGGGAGGTCAGGGTTCCAAATACGGACGCATACTCTGGACAGTGTCATCCTCCTCTTCTCCCTGTAGATGAGCCCCAGAGAGAGGGAGTGGAAGAGCAGGCCTGCGGGAACTCTAGCCCTCCCAGGACAGCTCCCCACTTCACCCCAGGCCACCTGCTGCTAGGAGCCCAGGCCCCTGTTGCAGAGCGCAGGGGTCACATACGTCCTTAACTGGATCAGGTCCTCACAGTTGGAAGGTCAACCCTGGACCTGAAGCATGAAGCCAGTGGCTTGGCAGAGGGATCCCGCCTCTGGCCCCTTCCTCCTCTAGGGTCACCCGCCCACCTGCCCCTGGGAAGACACCAGGCATAACAGAGCCACCTAGGCTTTGGCATCAGACTTGGCCTGTGTCCTGTCTTTGCCCTGTCACAGCCCTGTGACTTGGGCAGGTCCCTTTACTAAGGTCTCTGAAATGGGGACATTGGTGCCACATACTGCACGTACCACACCTGGATGCAAGAGGTGCCAGCCACTGCTGACTCCCACCCCATCCACTTTCATGGCCAGAGCATCAGCCCAGCTGGAAGAGGGCCAGGCAGCAGAGAGCAGCAGGGGAGGGGGCAGCCAGTCACACCAAAGAGTTGGGGTCTGCTGCCTGCACTGGCCAGCACTCGAGCTAGACTTCGAAGGTAGAGGGGGTGTTTGCAGGATGGCCATGAGAGAGGACATTCCTTGCAGAGTGACTTGCATGAACAGACTGGAATTTCCTGGCCTGTGCCTGGCTCCTGACATCCTAAAATGTGGGGTGGATACCAAGAGAGGCAGGAGGGTGGGCAGCTGTGTGGAGAGGGGTGGAGGAGACAGAGGGAGTTAGATGTTAGGGGACCCTGACAAGAGAAGGCAGTGGGCAGGGGATGCAGGGACAGGCGCCAGGGCTGCAAGGGGGTGGGGGCTGGCAGAGGCCCCAAGCTGCTTTCCTCAGTCTCCACCATATGGCCCCTCTGCACACTGTATACGTGCCCCATCTGGGAATGTGACACAATTGTGCTGTGCCCACTAATGCCCACTGCCAACATAGGGTCTGCTATGTGGTGGGCACAGGACAGCTAAACAGCCAGATGATAAATCAAAGCCATTTCAGTGTACAAATGTGCTTATTAGTCGTACATCAGTTGGCATCAGGGCTGCGCTCCAGATGGACAGGCTGCTCGACACTCAGTGGCCTAGCCCTGGGGGCTCCTGTCATCCCTGATGGTGGCCACATGGCTTCAAGTTTGGAGACAGGGAAACACAGCACAGGGGAGTCCAGGCCACTGCCCAAGCCCTCCCTGGCACAATGCCCTCAAATTGAGGCCTGGACCTCCACATTCTATGTGAAGATGTGCGCCCACCCTAATCCTCACAGAGTTCCTGTTAAGGGCCGTGGCACAGTCAATGCCCATGGCATTGGGAAGGGTCTTCTCAGTCCAGAGCAGAAAGCACTTCCTTCCTGAGCCCCATTGGTATATTTCTAAGCCAGGATGCCTTCCTCTGGGGCCCTAAGCACCTCTGTAGAGCTGAACCAGAGCTCCTGGAGGCTTGGGCAGGACAGACAGACTTGAACGGGTGCTGCTGCTGGGCAGGGTGGGGGCCCCCCCAGGGCTAAGAGCACGCCTCTCCTGCAGTTTGAAGGCTGCAGCAAAGCCTTCTCGCGCCTGGAGAACCTCAAGATCCACCTGAGGAGCCACACGGGTGAGAAGCCGTACCTGTGCCAGCACCCCGGCTGTCAGAAGGCGTTCAGCAACTCCAGCGACCGCGCCAAGCACCAGCGCACCCACCTCGACACGGTAGGCCTGAGGGGGAAGGCCGCGGGTAGCGGGCTGCACATAGGCCACCTTCACAACTTGTCTAGTGCAGAACCCCCGCTCTTGTCCTTTGGCCCTGTTGACAGGTAGAGCAGGGTAATTCTCTGGCAGGGGTCTGGGGTGTCCTGTGCATTATGGGATGTTTAGCATTATCCCTGTCTTCTATCTAGATAGAGATTTTCTATCTCCCAATTGTGATAAAAATATCTGTGGACATTGCCAATTGTCCCTCCAGGGTAGTGTAAACTGGCAAACTCAACAGGGTCCCCCAGTTGAGATGCCCTGATTTGGCCTATGGGTACCAGCCCAGGCCCCAGCATCCTTGCGTATCTGGGCCCCCTTCCTCCCATCCTCTCTTGGGGGCCCGTCTGCCACACTCGGAGCAAGTCACTTTCTGCTCTTCCCACCCCATCCTGGGGATGGGCAGAGGTGCTCCAGGGCCACCTTTTGAGCCTTGAGGACTATAGGTGGAGTTGAGGGGGCAGCGTGAGAGTCTAGGCTTCAGCCACAGTGACCTGGCCTCCAGAGGCCCGGGTCTTTCCACAGCTGTATCCCAAGGTTGGTCCAAGTCCTCCCCAGAGACCTCAGCACTTAGCAGACATGGGTTCTGAAACAGTCCCCATGCTGACCTTGCTGTCAGGGGTCCTTAGCCCATTTGTCAAAGGAAGGAAGCAAGCTCAGGGTCAGTCCTATGCATGGTCATCACACAGCTGGACAGTGGCAGAGCTGACTCAGATCCAGGCCTTGTGACAGCCTTATTGGCCCTGGGTGAGGGGGCACATGCTCTGGGAGGACCCCAGCCGCCACACACCTCAGGAAACTGGGTTCTTCAGCCAAACTCCACAGCTGGGCCTGCTCCTCCTGCAGATTTGGGGGAGCTCTGTGGTGGGGACTGGGAGGTCTGAGTGGCGGGCCAGCCCAGCCTGTTCCATACACAGTTAAGGAAACAGGCTCACGAGGGTGACTAAGCCACCAGGCTAAGTTGGTGGCCATGAAACAGCAGAGGCCAGAGCGGAAGGGATACCAACTTTTTATTTCATAGTTGGGAAAATGGACCCAGAAGGGGAAGAAGGGACAGGAACTCATTGGGCCAGGCCACACCCTCCACAGTGTGTGTCTTTCTCTCTCTCTCTCACACACACAGAGTTCAATCCTTGTGACAACTGAAGGTGTAGGGCCATTATCCCCATTTTGTAAACCAAGAAACAGAGACTGGAAGAGATGGAGTCACTTCTCTGCCACAGCAGGCAAGGGGCAGAGCTGGGTTACACCCAGGGAAGTCCAGTGGTTTTTGCTGGAAAAAGCTGACATGGCAGCACTCTGGAGGGGTAGAGCTGAGCATAGGTGACAGAGCAGCAATGAGCAACCCCATCCCCAACCGAAAGCTGACCCCCACCACCTTCCAGTCTTCACTATTAAAGGCTACACTGGGACCTGAAGTGAGAAATGATTCTAACAAATCCCCTGCCCCTTGGTTACTTCTCATCCATGGGGCCCTGGCGCCCTGGCCTAGGCCCTGAGAGATACAGTTTGTGCCTCAGGATCCCTGGTTATGTCCCCCAGAGGTCTCAAGGCAGTACCAAACCTCGGACCCCTCCCTACCTCCCAGTAACCTACCTACCCTGATTTAGCTCCTTCCTCCTTCCTTAAATTTCTTGGATCTAGCCCCAAAGCAACAGGCTTCTGACCCCATTTGGTATGTGAGCAGAGCTCCAAGAGCTAGGTCATGTCAGGGCAGAATGAGCCACTGGCTTGTCTCAGGCCTTCATCTCCCCAAGAAGTCCCCGAAAGGCTGGGAGGTGCAGCCACCAAGCCCAGCACCCCACTTGCATTCAGCTCCCTGCATAGAGACCCGTGCATCTCCCCAGGTGCTGTTATCTCAGCACCCATCCTCAGCATCCCAGTGGGGCAGGGCCTTGCTTTTCAGAAGGGACCCAGCTAGTCCCTAGCTCCCCTTAGCATTGGAGAATATGGGTGACCTCCACAGGCAAGAAAGTTTCTCCAGATTGGACAGAACCAGACCTGGGTTCTGGTCCCAGAGGTCTAAGGAAAGCTACCTCACCTCTCTGGGCTTATTTCCTCAAAGGTAAAATACCTGCCTCTTGAGAAGAGGTAGAGAGAGGCCTGCAGGTAGTCTGTACAGCCCTTCCTTTCCTGCTGTGTTACTAACCCACTAAATGTGGGCCACATTCTGCCATGCCCCAGGCATCCAGTGTGGGTTTGAGTTTTGGTCGCCATAGGTCCCTGTGTGGATGGTAATCTCTCCTTTGCCCGCTTCACTGGACCACTCATGCCTGCAGACCGAAGGTGTCCTGGTCACATGCACTCTGGCTGTGAGGTCTGGTGTATTTCGTGGGCCTCCATTTCTTCCTCCACAAAATGGGACTCAGAGGAGACCATGGATGGCCAGTACATAGCAAAGTGCCTGTACCCAGAGAGCAGCCCAGACCGGAGGGCTTGGCGAGCTACCGTGGTCCATCGCACACATGCCGAGAGGCAGCCTTGCTATTAACAGGAATACAGCGGCCCTGGCTTTGGAGCCTGTGTGGGGACTCAAGGCCTGGGTTTGGCTGCTGGCTTGGGATAGCCATAGGGTTTCCTGAGAGCTCACAGGGGAGCCGAGCCTGAGGAATGTTCTAGATACGTCAAGCCCTGGAAAAATAAACATGGAGATGGGCCCTGCTGCCCTGTTTCCAGGAGAGTGTGCCTGTTACATCACGCTCTGTTTGACAAAGTGTGTGGATTTGTATCAGTATCCCCAAGGGACAGGGGCTGGCTCAGGGGCAGGGCAGGGCAGCGCCCATGGGGACAAGGGGAAGAGAGAGAAAGGGAATGTGTGCGTTGGGATGGGGTCAGGGCCTGTGAGAGAGAGACCATAGGTGTTGGGGTCGAGGTCAGGGCTAGGAAGTGAGGGTTGAGGGGGGCCATGCGTGACCTACGGTGGGTGGTCCAAGCAGGGCTCCCCTCTCCTGCCTTCCTGTTGGCCTCGGCAAGCTTCTCACTGCTGTCTCTCTCTTTTTGCTCTCCTCCATTCATTAACCTGGCGACCTCTGCGGCAGCTCCAAGGTATGGTCGTCTCTTTCTGCTTCCCCTCCCTGTGAGGTCCCTGGGCCGTGGCACCTCTCCCACCGCCCCTCACTCTGGCAGGGGCAGAGTTGCCTTGAGGTTTGTGGATGTGTGGTATGTCTGACAGGGCACAGAGGTCCCCGGGACTTGCGCTGAGAGGTAGAACGCTCTCACACACTCTCCTGTCCCTGCAGGCCCAGGTCAGGGGGTTCCTGGGGATCAGAACCACTCAACATGTTCAAGTCTGGAAGCCTCTGGAACTTCAAGCCCCAGTAGCAGCCAGAATCCCCAAGCAGGGTCTTATAGAAGCCCCTGGGGAGATGTCAGCTAGAGCCATGAGTCCCCAGCCCTGGTTTTACTGGGATTTGGGATCCAGTGTCCCTCTTCTGCACCAGAAGAGGGACCCATCTGATTCAGTGTCCCTCTGAACAGTCCCAGCAGCCCAGGGTGGACAGCACTGCTGCCCAAAGCTTGGGCCTGTGGAGGGAGCAGGGTTCAAGGACAGATTAGAGAGAGGGGAAAGGTGGGGGGGGGCACGGGATAGGGTGGGGACAGGAGAGGGACCCTGGTCTCAAAAGGGCATAAGTGCCAGGTGAGGGTCTGTGTTCTAAGCACCGTGGAGCCACTGTGGGGTTTACAGCAGGCACGGCTGGCTGTGTAATGAAGGGGGATTGGAAGCCTGGGGCAGGAGTCCTCTCTTGTCTTCCAGGTGAGCAGTGGGGGCAGGACTGGCCCACTCCCCACACATGGGGAATGGCCCCAGCTCTCGTGTGCTCTCGGAGGCCAGCACCCTGAGGCCGCCTGCAGCTGTTGTGGGAAGGACCTGGGTAGCTTGGTCTGTTGGAACCCACCTGCATACTCCCCACTGCTAGCTGGGTGACCCTGGGAAGATCCTTCAGCCTTTATGCTCCCTCTTCAACTGTCGAGAGAGGCAAGATAGTGAAGGGTTTGCTTGAAAGGTCAAGGCTGGCCAGGCTGGCCCTGTGCTGCCCCTCTCCTCTGTGGGCAGCATCTTGCAGGGCTCCTGTCGGCTCACTGCTTTGTTGCAGCTGCGCGATTCAAAGGGTGCACCTTGGTCAGAGCAGTGCCCCCCCCAAAACCCATAGAATTCAGTTGTCCCTATTTTGCAGAGGAGAAAAGTGAGGCCCCACAAGAGAAGTCCCAGCAAGGTGGGAGAATGAGACAGAGTCCTTCCTTCACTCTTGGGCCAGGCACCTTTGCACACCTGAGGCCCATAACCTGCCCTGCACCCTGTCCTCCTCCCACAGTAGGTCACCCAGAAGGACCTTGGCCCTCAGAGTCATTCACTGACCTCTGAGGTCACGCACTGATTCTATGTCCCTCTAACGTTACAGAAGCCATATGCCTGTCAGATTCCCGGCTGCTCCAAGCGCTACACGGACCCCAGCTCCCTCCGCAAGCATGTGAAAGCCCACTCAGCCAAAGAGCAGCAGGTGCGGAAGAAGGTAAGGTGGCCTCTGAGCCAACCCCACTCCGCTGATGCACTGCGTCTTACTGCCAGGCCAGCACCAGGCCAGGCACCCACACTGCCTGTGTGTGCTCGCCATCGAGTGCCACTCCCCATCTGTCTGTCCATCTGCCTCCCACCTGTCCTCATCCGAACCAATAGCACTTCACCTGCCCAGGCTGCCCCCAACCCTCGCCCTGTTACCTTCTCCCTACATCTCCTCAGTGAGCATCTGACATCTGTCCTTGTGCTAGACACTGAGGATGCAAAACAAAAGGCACAGTCCCCAAGATGACTCAGTGCAGCATGATACAGATGACAGCAAGGTGTGAGAGTGGTCAGAGGCCTGGACAAGGGGGCCTCTGCCTGTCTGCATGGGAGCAGGAGGCCACAGGAGGCAGTGGTCAGGGGTGGACTCTGAAGCCACCTGCATGCTCCCCGCTGCTAGCTGGGTGACCCTGGGAAGGTCCTTCGGCCTTGGTGCTCCCTGTTCTTCAACTGTCGAGAGGGGCGAGACAGTGAAGGGCTTGCTTGAAAGGTCACCAGTGGGGACTGAAGAAGAGCACAGAGGACTGAGAGGGGGCACAGAAGTTTGGAAAGGAAGCTGGCGTGTGTGTCCTTCTTTCCAAGGCAAGAGTGAGCACGGGGATGGGAAGAAAAGTGCTCCCCGGAGTGACCAGTGTTGAGCAAGGACCAGAGCCCGATGGCTGTGGCATGTGTGGGGCCCATGGGCACTTGTCTGGCCCGGGCTGGGCAGCATGGTAAGGAGGAGGGGAAATGACCCCAGGGTACCTACCGTAGGATCAAGGCTGTGCCCAGGAGATTGGGCTCTGTCCAGAGCACAGTTGAAGCAAGAGGCTCTTGAGAAGAGAAGGGGCATATCACCTGAGAGACACCTCTGGGCTGTGTATAAAATGAGCTGAGGGTGGAGGGAGGGAATTCCAAGGCCAGGAAGTCACTGCTGGGAGCAAGAGAAATGGTGGAAGTCGGTCTGGGGAGAGTGAGGAGGGGCTAGGCTGGGCAGTGGAGCAGTAGGTACCCAGGACAAGACTTGGGCAATGGCATGGGTGGAGATGCCCCTTCATCAAGAAAGAGAACCTAGGGGCCAGGTTTGCAGGAGGAAGTGAGCAGTGGGTTCCGTGTTGGACCAGGGGTGTAAGCTGCTGGGGAAGCCAGGCCAGGGCGGGAAAGATGGGGTGGGATGTGGCAGAGCCTCCTGGGCTGTGAGAGTTAGTCTTAGTGAAGAGGATTGCAGAGGCCACCAGTATGACAGGAGGGTGAGGGGAAAGAGCTTATTAACATGTTCAACTCAATATAGGGTACCTGCATCGGGCTCCAAACACTGTCCCAGGAACCACAGATATAGCTGCCACTGAAACTGCTAAGGCCTTCTGGATGCAGAGATGGTGCAGACAGGGTTGGGATGCTGGGAATGAGTGGGCTTCATGATGGGCAGGGATAGAGAGGCTCAGGATCTGGGGCTCTACCCTGTAGGCAATGGGGAGCCATTGGAAGTGGTAGAATGGGAAGGAATAGACGTGGTCAGAGAAGGGGCTGAACTTCAGGGCGGTTGCCTCCATGGCTCAGGCACTGTACCTACTGCTTCATATACTGCATCTCATTTAGTCCTCCTGCGACCCTAGAAGTGGACACTATTCCCATTTTAGAGCTGGAAACTGAGGCTGAGAGGGAGTTAACAAACCAGCCCAGAATCACACAGCCCAGAAGTAGCAGGGCCAGGGTTCTATCCCAGACCTGTCTGTCTGCAGAACCTGAGTGCTCAGCACTACTTTCAAGTGGAAGTCTCTTGAGTAGGAACAAGAAATGGCCCAGGTTTCAGCAGGCTGGGGCTCCCGGTCAGGAAGGCTCCTGTCCCAAGTGGACCAGTGCCCAAGGACAGGAATCCTGCCCTGGTTTTCCCAGGCTCCATGCTTGGCTCCCCCTGAGCCCTTAGGGACTTAGGGCCGCAGATCTGCAAACTTCCCAACAATAAGCCTCCATTAGGAGCCACGGGATGATGAATCTTTCTGGGTAAAGCAACCCTTGTATTATGACAACTCCTTGGCAGCCCTGCTGCATTTCAGAGAGAATTAGAAATGCTTTTCTTCCTTAATTCTCCTCTCCCGCTGTTCCTAATCCCATCGACATTGCGGTCTGCAGGAACATGCCTTGGCCTCTTTTGCCAGAAACTTCATTTACATGGAAAACAGCTGCTGGGTCAGGGAGCTGGGAGCCCGAGTGCGTGCGTCGGGCCTGGCGTGCCTCCCTCAGGCTGGTGTCGACCTTCAGCCTGGGAGGGTGGACACATCCTTGGAGACTCGCTCTCAGCCCCTGCCCGGGGCACGGGTCAAGGCTCTCCCCTGCTCTGGGACTGTTTTGTCCTGGGTCAAGGGAGTGTTCCAATAAGTCAGTCCACAGGCCTCGGGCTCTACAGCCCAGCTCAGGGTTCCATCCCATGCACATGCTGCCACTCACCATCCAGGGTCCCCAGGGTGCCCCCGCATCCCCATTCTGGCTCCTCTGGAGAGGTGGAGATGTTCCGAAATGACTGTCCTTGGGAACAGCCAAAGGCTGTTGGGCAGAGCTTGGCTTGGATTACCGGGTGCAGCCCAGTCCAGGCTTGCTTTTAGCCAGGTCCCTTCGTCCATATACCAATCCCTTGGGCCTGCTGTCATGGGACCACATGGGGCCCAAGTAGCTGGAACCGAGCCAGCCCTGCACACCTGCTTCACAAAGCCTCCTTTACCGTACCCATCACCTCTGCTCCTGTGGCAGGCGGGGGCGGAGCATAGTCATTGCTGCAAATCACAAGCAGGGTAGGTGAGACCCGGAGAGTCTAGGTTACTTATCCAGTTACGCAGGAAGTAAGAGGTGCAACTGGATCTGAACCCAGCTCTTCTGTGCCTAGCACTGGACCGTCCACTGCCTCTTGTACAGAGAAGAGGCATGGTGGGGCAGATGCCGCGTGCCTGCTGTGCTTTCCTCCCACTGCCTCAGTGCGCACACCGTGTGTGCTGCTCGCCTCCAACTGACCTCAGAAGGCCCATGGCTGCTCCTGGCTGTCCATCTAGCTTTGTGCTGAGGCCATACCACATGGCTGCTCCCAGCCAGAGACTGCGTGCAGCCCTCAGGGATCAAAGGTCACAAGCAGCCCCCTCCCGAGAGATACAGGACCCCTAACTCCCAGTCAAGAAGGCTTCCCCCTCCTGCCCTGGATTCCCAGCCCCCCTGACCATGCCCCCTTTCTGTCACACGTGCACTTGCCCTCACAATCCTGGTGTATCGAATCCCATCTTGGCGTCTGCTGCTTAAGGACCCAGGAATAACACAGTCCTCACGTTGTACACCATCACCTCGCATCACAGATGAGGAAACTGAGGTTCAGGGAGGAGAAGGGGCTTACCCTGGGCTGCCGACCTGCTTCTAAAACAAGGGGAGCTGGTGGACAGGCGGTCTGCCTCTAACGCCCCCTCTCTGCTTGCTCCCAAGCTGAACGCAGGCCCTGATGCCGAGGCCGATGTCCTGAGCGAGTGTCTGGCCCTGCACCAGCTTCACGCGTCCACACAGCTGGCTGCCAGTGACGGGAAGGGCAGTCGAGCCCTGGGCCAGGAGCTGCTCCCGGGTAAGTGTGCAGGGAGGTAGGGCCGGGGACTGAGCATTCCATAGAGCAGTGATGCTCCCTGGGCCACAGGGCTGAGACCTGTCACAGGGCACCCACTCCTCTGGACTTGATTGCCTGCCTACCCACCCTCTGGCTCCCAACCTTCAACCCATCTTCTCCTCCAGCTCATTTCACTAGGCAGATGGCCCTCCATACCCTTCCATGGCTCCCACTGCCCATAGGGAAATCCCGTGCTTCTCAGCCTGGCCTCACCAGGCCTGGGAGCTCTTGGAGTCCTCTTGTCTCAACCTTGGCACTTTGGATCCAATTCCCTGAATATTTTGCTCCTTTTAACTCCGAAGCACCCCACCTTTGCTAGCCTCCCCTCCCCTTTCTTTACTAAGGGGGCTCCTGCTCTACCCATAGGACCCACCTCCTGCCCACTCCTCCAGGAAGCCTTCCTCTGGGTTGCCTGCTGCTCCAGTGCTGAGCACTCTGGGATGTCACTGTTTCCCATCTGTCAACCTATCAGACTGACTGTGAGCTCCTCTGGGGCAGACTAGGGTCCTCCTCACCACAGAGTCACCAGCACCCCAGGCTGCCCCAAACATTGTGAAGAGAGGTTGTGGCCCTAGGTCTAAGATCCAGGAAGAACCACCCATTTTAGCCAGGCATGGAGGTGCACACTTGTATTCCCAGCAGTGATCAAGATTTCAGAGCCAGCCTCAGCAACATAGTGAGGCCCTAAGCAACTTGGCAAGACCCTGTCTCTAAATAAAATATAAAAAGGGCTGGGGATGTGGGTCAGAGGTTAAGTACTCCTGGGTTCAATCCCCAGTACTAAAAAACAAACAAATAAATAAATAAAAACCATTTTGCACTGGCCATAGCCTGAAGGCCTGTTTCATTCCCAGCACAGCTCCTGCTTCAGAAGAGAAACCCAGGGCTGGGGTCGTGGCTCAGTGGTGGAGCTTACCTAGATTGTGTGAGGCACTGGGGCAGACTAGGGTCCTCAGCACCACATAAAAAAAAATACAAGTATTGTATTCATCTACAATTAAAAATATTTTAAAAACAAAGAAGAAGAAAAGAAATCCAAGGCTCCCAGAGGGTGGGCAACTAGGCCAAAACCTACTACCAGCTCATCATTAAACTCTGGCCCAGAAATGGGGCTTCCTGAGCCCTGGACCCTGCAGGCCCATTGGGCCTGACACCCAAAGCCTCTGGTTTGGCCAAGGCAGCCTGGCTATCCTTCCAGCAGCTGCCGGCTATGGGGCAGGTTGCAGGCCACGGCAGGAATTCCTGGCCCTGTGGCTTGGGAATCCAGCCCAGATGAGGCAGCATGGCCTTTGGATTCCAGCTGATAGTTCCTGCACTCTGCCCCTGACTCTCCAAAGAAACCTCGGCATTAGAGAGAAAGCTGTGTCCACCCTCTGGGATTTCTTGAATTACTCTAAACCATTTGAAACATTTTTAAAAATTTTCTCATTATTCTTCCTCTCAACGTTGAAGTAGCAACAGATTTCAAGATATGTCAAAACCTTCCCCCAAAACCTTGGGGAAGCAGGTTTTCACCCTTTCTTCAGGTGGACACTTAGAGGAGGGCCCACTCCCTCCCCTCCAGCTAGGGCCCCTCTACCATGGCTGCCGCTCACAGGGTTAGAATTCCCAAATGGCAGGGCTGAAAGGACCACAAGCAGGACCAGCCCACAGATGAGGACACAAGGGCCAGCACCCAACAGCCGGTTGGGACTGCTTGGAGCTCAAGTTGGGGATTCCTGGGCTATCCCAGACTCCATGGGAAAGGGCACTAATACCACCAACGGCTGTCCCAGGGTGAAGGTCCTGCAGCTCCAGCATTCCTACCTTGGGAGGATCTGGACTGGGCAGAAGGACTATCCATCCAGAAGAGAGTGGCGGGTCCAGATCCGAGGGCTGTTTGTTTTCCCAGATGAGCGCAGAGCTGTCCTGGGGGAGAGGGCTGGGGGCAGCAGTCATCATCTCTGGGGCACCTGCTTGGGTTGGTCCCTTTACAACACCATCTCACTTGATCCCCAGCTGTCACCCATGCCACAGATGAGCAACAAAGTCCACCAAAGGCAGTGTCACAAGGAGAAGGACCTTAGGCTAATGCCAGCCTGCTGGGACCTCCTGCTCTGGCCTGAGACAGTGAGGAAGTGATACTTTCCTCCCTGCTTTGTGCCTCAGTTTCCTTCCCAAACCTGCTGAGAACACGCACCAGGAGCGGCAGAGGGCCTAGGCCTGTGCATGTCAACTATAACCCTTGCCACTTGGAAGGCCCCAGCCTGCCTGCTGGGAGGTGACAGAGGCAGGGCTGAGCCAGGCCCTGCACCTGAGGCCGTGCTCTTACCTGAAAGTCTAGTGCCCTTCTGCCAACACTACCTCGATGCCATACTGAGCACCTGCTGTACACTGCCCCTGTGCTGGCCCTGACCTTCAGCTGTTTCCATCACCATGAGGACGGGGAAGGAACATTCAGGCAAACCCAGGGGCCCTAGATTCCCAGATTCATCCTACAGGTTCTTCTGCAGGCCACAGCTGGGAGCAGATGTTAGGGCCAGCAATTAGGTGTACTTGCCTGATGAGGAGTGTTTGCAGGGAGGCTTCTTGGGTTCTCGCTCTTGCTGATTATAGGAAGCTCCTGCAAGTAGGAGACCCTCAGGAGCTTACCTGGCAGGTCTGTCTTCAGACTCACAGTGCCATGATAGGCAGGGAGGATGTGGATGAGAAGCATGAGGTCACATGGCTGGGGAGAGGGAGCAGGACTCTCGGGACTCCAGGCCTTCCCAGCTGACAGGCCCCAAATTGGTTCAAGATGGTAAGCAAGGAGGGGCTGGGGGAGTGGCAAGGGAGAGCCCTGTGCCAGGCTCCCTCTAGGGATCCCCTCAGTGCCTTCCTGTGTGAGCTGGCAGTGATGTGGCCAAAGCAGGGAGGGCACCTGATAGATGGAGAGACAGGCAGTGCTGCCCATGAGAACAGAGATCCCCAAGGTGGAGAGGCCTGTGGCTGAGAGCTGGAGGGTGCTCAGGACCCACCCCAACCCCAGAGTCTCACAGCTAGCTGGAAGCCTGAGCCAGAGCTGTGGTCCCTAGCTGGACATCCAGCCTGAGACAAAGCCACTGCTATTTCCTGGGCCAGCCTCAATTGGACTTTCTTTCCATATGGCCTAGGAGGCAGGCCTGAGTAACTGCCCACCGTGTGGCTTTGGGCCAGTCATGCATCTTAAGATTACTTTCTTCATCTCAAAATGGATCATATTATCTCCCCTGTCGACAGTTTGGAGATGATTAGGCCACATATGTGGAGAGTGAACTTGGCACACATACGTTCATGAGCAGGGCGTGACTCTTGTCTCAGAGGAGACTTTCGCCCAGCTCAGCCCAGCCACAGGTGCCTGCCAGAGACAGACTGAGGTCTCCAGGCCAGCGCTACGTTGTCCAGCAGTTCCAACACAGACCTTAAGGGGGTGCATTCTCTCCGCTGGCTACAGTCTATTTCTTGCCCCCTGCAGTCCCTGCCAAGCCCAGTTCCCTGCAGCAGCCTCTGGAGTTGTAGGCCCAGGTCAGGAGATCCAACCTGGGATGTGCTAGCCTTGGAACCACAAATAACTGACAAGTAAACTGTACCCCATCCTTGAAGGAACCTGCCTTCTCAGATTGGTCTTTATCGGGCAATAAGAAACAATGGGTCTAGATACACAATGGCCAGAGTGACATTCAAGAGGTCACACCTGACCATGAGAGGGGGCACTGACCAGGTAGAGTTTCTGCTGCACTGGTGTAGCCCAGACCACAGCTGCTGGGGCCACCAAGTCTTCCCAGGGTATCACCTTGATGCATTGATTTCAGGGAAGATGCCACTTTCTGTTCAAATAAACCTGGCTAGATTGAAGATAGAAGGCAAAATTGGCCTCATTTTTTTTCCAGATAAAATAGGGAGCATCAAAAACTTGGCAGTCCTTGGCAGTTAGAGAATGCTGGCCTCAATGGTTCTAAAACTCTCCACTGGGCCTCTGGACCAATACCTGATTGATCTAATGTCCCCCATTGATTTGTTATCCCACCTATCTTAACAAGGGGGAGAGATGGTAAAAGGTGGGATCGCCCTGTAAGTGTCTTCTATAGGGATAGAATCTGAGGCTAGAACACAGCTGACTTCTCAGTTGGGACCCTTAGGCAGTGTACAGTCTGAACAACCATCCATGGCAGCTCCTCTCAGAGGTCTCCCAGGCCAGCTGGGGTGATCATCCTTTCTTCAGAACCTTTCACAGTGGACGCCCAGGCTCTGCTGGCATACCTCTGAGGACAGATAGCTCACTCTATCCAAAGGCACTCCATTACCCTGCAGCACCCTTGCCTATCAGAAGGTACCACCAAGCCCCGAGAGCTGGTTCCTGCTTCTCTCAAAGTTCTTTTTGTCCCATGTCCTCATCAGGGGAAATTCAGAGCAGTCCCTGCTTCTCCAGATGGCCCCACAGAGGTCTGCAGTGGCCTGCTCCATACAAGCCCCTACCCCAACACATACACACACAGGGTCTCAACACCCTGTGCTTCTCACAATCCCTTGCCAGCCCTCTTCTGCCATCGGAGTTGGCCCCAGCCCTGGACACAGCATTTTGGCCAGGGCCTAAATCAAACAGAGTGGGGTCATCACCTCCCTTGTCTAGCACCTATACTTCCTCTAATACAATCTTACTCATTTCCCTTCTTGTCGATTTCTCTATAAGTAGGCACGCGGTGCCTGGGCCATCCACAGCCATCTCTAGGGGGTGGCCAAAGCCCAGTGATATTTGCTTGGTTCCCCGCAGGTGTATATCCTGGCTCCGTTGCCCCTCATAATGGGCTTGTTCCAGGCATCCTGCCCCCTACGCATGATGTCCCTTCCAGGCACCACCCATTGGACGTCACTACCAGTTCACACCATCATCTGTCCCCTCTACCCACAGCTGACAGTACCAGGGATGGGTACGTACACCATACCAGTTCTCCTTAGGGGACATGAGTGGGCACATCTGTGGGCGGCAGGCATCCCACACTGCCTGGGCGTTCTGCGTGATGGGGTAGCCTGCATCTATGAAGCACTTACTGCATGCTATGCTCATCCCACGCTCTCTGGGCACCCTTTATCCATGCCTCCCAGTGACCCTGTGAGGCAGATGGCATTGGTCCCTGGCTTCTGGGGGCCCCAGGAAGATTCTGTGCCCCCACCTGTCTTCTGCCACACCCAGGCCTCCCTGGGAGCCTCACCAGGCTTCTCTGTGCAAATCATGTTGGATGAATGGACTGGACTTCCCGGGCCCCCTGCAGACATGCTGGCCTGGGCATCTCTGGCCAGTGCAGCTGTGACCACAGCCCGGCCTGCAGGTCACTGCAGAGGGGGTCGCTCTCCCTGCATTCAGTGTGGTTTTCGTAGTGGCCACTGATTACCTGGCAGTGTGTTCCTTGCTGACCCCGACACTGCTGAAGTCTGTTGGGCTTGCATGCAGCACAGAGAGGCCGAGGCCCTGCCATTGTTGTTTGCCACAGCAGTGACTTGATCCGATTTGTCACCCAAGGCCTGGCCCTAGCAGCACCTTCCTCCCCACGGCTGTAGCCTTCACCTTGGCCAGCACAAGCCTGGGACCAGCCTGGCTTCAACACCCTCTTAACTGGGCTCTTCCTCCCGTTTATCATCCCTTCCTCTGTGTTCCGTTATTGAGTGCCACTGGATGGGCCCTGGACCCAGTCTAGGACCACCAATCACGACAAGTGGGAGGAGGAGGAGCAGGAGGACGACAGGCCTGCAGAGACTGGTCATACAGGGCAGGTGCACCAAGGGAGGAAGCCCCCAGGGGAACCCAGTGGGCTGGGGCTGGGGGAGAGCATCAGGGAAGGCTGCCTGGAGGAGGCAGTGCTAAGCCAGGCTTCCAGGGGGAAGGCAGAGTCGTGTGGTGGACAGGTGGCAGAGGAGGGAGAGCATGGCATGCTACCATTGTGTGGGGTGCCACATGTCGGGGAGAGGTCACCAGGGCCAGGCCACGAGGCCCGTAATGGGGCTGTGTCCTGAAAGGTGTTGAGCAGTGATGTCGTCGGGTTTGGGAGGAGAATGTGCCTTGCCCACAGCAGGGGGCTGGACCGTGGTGGAGCAGCCTGGACGATGGGATGCAGCATGGCAGCCTGAGCCGGGCTGATCTGGACAGGGGAAGGGACACCAGAAGGCAACAATGCACAGGACAGCGGAAGTCAGAAAACCTGGCTGGGCGGAGAGAGGGGTGCAACCGAGAGGAGTCCAGAGTGGGCAGAGCAGACCGCAGAGCGTCAGGAGCTGCGGGAGATTGTGGTGGAGCACCAGCAAACAGCCACGAAGAGGCAGCCTGTCGGGGTACAAAGGGGGACCCAGAAAACGGAGCCCTCCCTGAGCCTCAGTGTCTTCCTCTAGGAACACGGTGACGGTCAGCTGCACATGCCTGACGTTTTACGTGTCACCTGGTATAGGTTCCTTTTACAGGAACCCCCTGCCCCCGCCAGCTCAGGCCACCTGCTCACCCTCCAGCCGGCCCCAAACATCTCCAGCCCCACGGCTCAGGCCAGTGCCCTCTGCTCTGCCTCATTCTCACCTGCCTGCCACCGCATGGGTGCCGTCAAGAATCTCTGCAGCCAGAGGCAGGGTGGTGACGAGACCAGATTCTATCTGCCTGCAGAACGGCCAGGAGTCACCCCCCAGCCACGTGCCCCAGCGCTCAGTTTAGCATGGGGGGAGGGCCCTGTGCCCCTTGCCAGCCCCAGGCTCTGCCTGAATGGGTTCCTTTTTCATCCCCTGAGAGTGGAGGAAGGGACTCCGCCTCCCTTTCCTGCCAAAGTCAACAGGGAACGGCCACTCCAGGCTCCCCAGTGGTTTGCTGGGACGTTTAAATAGCTTGACAGAATTATCTGATTCACTCAAAAATATGCTAAGAGGGCCTGACTTCATGACCAAATGTATTTACCCTGGCTCAGAGAAGATGCCAAATAGGGTGGGTTTTCTCCTGGTCCTGGGCGAGGTATGAGCCCTTGCCTCTGCCAGGCCAGCCAGAGTTCATGTTCGGGTCCCTAGGTTCCAACTGAAGCCAAGCATCTGATGGTGGATGCATTGGCATGACTCAGAAGGGGGCTCAAGGTGACCTCTTCTCCTTCGGGAGTTCAGGTGGAGCAGCTTAGCCTCTGCCCGCATGTCTGCTGCGGGTGGAGTGGGGCTTTGTCTGACTTCACTGACTGTGAAGGTGGCAGATGTGCGCTTGACAGCATCATGACAGGAAAACAAACCTGGAGAAGGCCGGAGCTTGCCCGCTGGAACTGGCGCTCTTGGGCAGTGCTGTTCACCGCGATCCAGAAACCTGTTTGCCAGAGTTATCAGTTGTTTGCCATGTGAGGCCCTGTTCTGGACAGCAAGGACCCAGAGGGCAGGGAGCTGGGCCTCTCCACAGGCACTGCCAGGGCAGAGATGGGCCACAAGTGCCCGGATGGGATGGAGACCACACAACAACCACGGGGTAGCTGGAGGATGCCCTCGGGGCTGTCCTGCCTCTGCCTGTCCCTGCCCTGCCTTCAGTGATGGACCCCAGATGCATGATGGCAGCACAATGGAGGGGCAGGGACAGTAGGATGCCCAGCTGGAGGGAGCAGAGGGTGACCAAGCACAGCTCCAGACAAGAAGCTCCATCCCCAGCCTCTCTCCATACCATAGTCCTACTTTCCTTAGAGGGCAGATCTGTCCCAATAACACCTCATATCTCAGAGAATACGTGAGGGTAACAAGGTCACCTGGAGCCGTGACACTGAGTTTGCAGTCTACCTTAATGCAGGTGTCCAACAAACCCAAACAAGAAAATGGAGACTGAGCTCCCACTTTCTCCCCACATATGGCTATAAGCCAGGGGCGCCCGTGGCCATGCCTCTGCCCCCAAGCCTGCCTGCTGACGTCCCTTCTCTCTGTGCTCTACAGGTTGGGGCCCAGCCTCCTCTCACCCATGGTCAGCCCTCTAAAGGGGCTTGGCCCACCACCGCTGCCACCATCCTCCCAGAGCCAGTCTCCGGGTGGCCAGCCCTTCTCCACGCTCCCCAGCAAGCCGTCCTACCCACCCTTCCAGAGCCCTCCGCCCCCGCCCCTGCCCAGCCCACAAGGTAAGCCCTGCCCGGCCCTCCGCACCCACGCCCATTCCTGGGGGACCCAAGAGCAGTGACACACTGTCCCGGGGAAGCCGATGGGCACTTGAGGAACAACAGGCCAGCCACTGAGGTCTATGCTGGGCAGAGCTGAAAGATGGGTGACCTAGAGTGCCCAGTCAGGGTACTTCCTGGAAGAAACTGGTTCTGAAAGTGAGGAGTGTGCTCTGTCCCCCAGCAAGGAAGGGCTTTTCCAGAAAGAGAACAGCATGGACAGTGCTGGGGGGGGTGGGCGAGGCCTGGGTGCCATTTGGGGACAAATGACTCCAGCACAGACACCCCACCTCCCTACCCCTCAGGGCAGAGCTGGGAACAGCCCAGGGCTCCCAGCACCTTCCCTGCCCCACACCCCCTTCTCTCCCTTACACCACGATGCTCAGAGAGGACAGCATGGCCATGCGACGGGCCCTCCCTGCCTGGCCTTGTCCCTTTGTTAATGCAGCCCTGCCACATCCCTCCACAGGCTACCAGGGCAGTTTCCACTCCATCCAAAATTGCTTCCCCTATGGCGACTGCTACCGGACCACAGAGCCTGCAGCCAGTGGGGACGGACTGGCCGGGGAGGCCCACGGTTTTAACCCCCTGCGGCCCAATGGCTACCCCAGCCTCAGTGCACCTTTACCTGCCTCAGGTGAGCCTTGCTTGTGAGCCTTCCTCCCCTGAGCACCCACCAAGGCTCAGCTTTAGGCACATTGTCCTGGGACAGTCCTGTGCAACAAGGTCATCCCCACTTATGACTCAGAGCCTCCCCACAGGGAGGTAGTCAGACCCAGGACCTGCAGAACTGGGCTTTGCACTGCATGACTGGAGTGGTCAGTGTTCCTTCCAGAAACTCACAGCTTACGTGTGTCTAGACTCGGGTTTCTGAAGACACAGAGAAGTATTACACTCATGGCCTAACCAATGCTTTATATTGATTGAGTACCTACTGTATGCTTGGTACAGCAGTGGACCCTGCAAATAGAGCTGGGAATGAGACAAACACTGATTCCCATTTAACAGGCATAGAAACCTGGGCTTGTACTTGTCCTCAGGCTGCTTCTGACTCTCCTGCAGGGCCCCGGGATCCAGGAGTGGGAGGGCCCACCTCTCCATCCCTGGCTTGTGTGGAGAAGCCAGTGAGAGGGGAGGGCTCCAGATGGACCACTGTGGACTCAGGCCCAGAGCAGCAAGACAGGCCTGGTCAGGGTGGGAGCTTCAGCTAGGTGGAGTGGAACCTCCCTGAAGCCCCTAGGTGCAGATCTAGCTGGAGGCTCCGACACAGGGGAAGCTGAGAGCCTGCCTCAGAGGGCTATTGGGCAGTCCTGAGTGCCTACAGCCAGGAGTAGAGGGACAAGGACATAGAAACAAGCACCACGGCCACATCTGTGGGCACATCTGTGCATGGGTACACCTGTGCGTGCTGACACAGCTGCTCCTGCGTCTGATGTCTTCCCATGTTGTGGGGCTTTCGTGGGCATGTGTGGTGTGCATCTGTGTGTTGGGCTTTCAAGGGAGGTTCTTGGCATAAGGAGCTCCCAGGACATGCACCTTCCTGTCTGTCATGTGTACTCAGGTTGTGCTGTGCCCATGGTCATGCACCAGTCAGCATGCATGTTACCCACCCCATGACTCACATCTGTGTCCACAGGCTTGGGTGTACATGTGTGTGCATCAGCATGTTTGTGGTGGTTTGGATGCGTGTGCCTGTGAGTCTGAGTACAGCGAAGGTAGACCTGCAGGTGGATGCTCGCCACGTACAGACCTGTGTGGCACGTGGTTTGCAGGGGGCTGCGTGTTCTGTGTTTGTGTGCATGTGGATTGGTGCATGATCAAGCAGGCCTGAAGTCAGCAGCTCTGAGGGGAACAGGAGCAGCCAGGTGGGGGGGTCTTTGGACCTCCCCTCCTCCCAGCACCCATCCCAGGCCCTGCTCAGTGCCTTAACTGCCAGCTGCCTGACCACTCTGTCAGGACAAAAATGGATTCAGTCTGAACAAGCTGGAGGGACCTTGTGGCCTCCGAATAGTTCAGCCTGAGCCCATTTAGAGATGGGAAGACTGAGGTTCACTTGTAGGCCACACAAATTTGTGACGGCAGCTCTGAGACAGGGCCCATAGGGAGGAACTGCATAAGATGACCCTTCCAAGTCCAGGGCTTCTGAGCACTAAACACCCCACCCACAAAGACAACATGACCAGTGGAAGGGCCAGGTGTCTCTGGAGCCAGATGGACCTGGATTCGAGTCCCAGTTCCCCCACTTACTAGCAGGTGACTTTAGACAAATGTCTTACCTACTCTGAGCCCATCTCCTCAGCTACAAAGTGGAACAGCAAATCCCCTCTCGTGGGGTTGCTGTGAAGTGAGATGATGTTTAATCAGCACTTAGAGCCCAATAAATGTGGTTCCATTTTGGGGGCTTCTTCAGTCTGGTAGGAAGGAAACTTAAAGGGAAGAGGTGAGCCAAGCCCTGCCAGGAGGGGACCACCCTGGGGTTAGACCATTGGTCCTCACACCACCAACTGTCCTCCCTCCCGACTTGTGCTCCATGGCACAGCACTGGGGGATGGGCCACCCCAAGCCACCTGGGCCTGTCTCCCCAGCTGCCTGGGCTCCCTGGGAATTTGAGGCTAGGACGCCCCCCAGCCCCTCCCCAGGTGTCCGCTGCCCCACCTGGCCGCACTCCACGGGGAGACCTGCAAGGAGGGCTGCTGAGCAGGCTGGTGGGGCTGGAGCTGGACACACAACAGGGCACAGCCTCTGCCAGCCTCCAGCTCTAACCCTCTGCTGCCTGCCCTCAGGCTATGAGGCCCTGGCCGAGGCCCCGTGCCCCACAGCACTGCCACTGCAGCCATCTGAAGACGTGGTGCCCAGCGGCCCTGAGGACTGTGGCTTCTTCCCCAATGGGGCCTTCGACCACTGCCTGAGTCACATCCCTTCCATCTACACGGACACCTGAGGAAGGCCCCGCCCACCATTCTGCAGATGCTGCTGCTTCCGCCTGCCGTGGTCTGCCACCCTCCCTGCCCCAGGCCAGAGCAGCCAGGTGCCCACACAGGTGCTGGGTGCTACGGCAGCCACCCAGCACCCCCCATGGGGGTGCTGTCTGGGCTCAGAGGTGCCCACCAGGGGTCATAGCCCTGTAACAGTCCCTTGATTGTGTCTTCCTGTTTCTCCTACGGTTTTGAAATCACAGACCTCGTGTATATAAAGTGTACAGAACTTATTTCCCATTCCCATGCCAGTTTTATATTTTTGGTTTTACAAGAAAAACATTAAAAACTGGAAACAAGACTTGGGGCCTGATTCTGTGCTGTGATTCAGCTTAGAGGTCCTGACCAGGAGAACCTGAAGGGAGTGTGGAACAGAGAGCTGGGTGCAAACCACCTCGGGCCTGGGCAGCTGTGGAGCTGGGTGGGAGCCAGTGTCAGCTGTCCCCTATCACATCATCCCAGGACAACACTGCCAGGCAGGGTTTTTCCAGAAACAGGTGAGCAAACAGACCAGGAGGGGTTCAGTGACCAGCCCGGCCCCACAGGAAGATAGATGGAGACCCCAGCTCTGTCCTACCCAGCCCCCTGCTGGCAGTGCCACTCAGCTGGTGGGACAGCAGGCTGTTTTGCTGCCTGCCTCTGTGAATGGAGGGCAGGAAGAGCCCCCCAGGAGAGAGCCCAGCAGCCTCAGAAGGTGAGGGACAAGGGCAGTTCCCTGTAGACCGGCAAGGTACAGAAAGCATCCTTTGCCCAGCGAGCCCATGCCTAGCCTCGGTGGCTAAGGCCAGAGAGGAGACCAGTCCTCAGGCTGCAAGGCTAGCCTGGTTCTGTCTCCTGGCCCTGCCAGGCTCTCTCCAGCACCCAGCAGAGAGCAAACCCACTGTCCACGCCTGTGCAGGTGACCTGAACAGTGACCCACATTTCACCGTGTCACCCTGAAGGTCACCTGGTTAAAAAATAGGAAAATTCTTGCCTCACCTCCATTGAAGAAACAAAGCAAGGGAGGTCACATAGTCTGTGTGCCAGGCTCTCTCCCTGCCCCTGGAAACAGCCTGGGGAGGGTCTTCTTGCCACTCTAGCTGAGAAGCAGCAGGCAGGACTAACCCCAGGCCAGGGGACCCTGCTTTGGGTACTGCACAGCTGGCTTACGTAGGCAAAGGGCAGTGGGAAGATCTCGTCAGCCCCCTGTTCATAGGGGGAGCCAAGGCTCACAGAGGACACCCAGTGAAGCAGTGACCGACTGGGCTGTCTGCCTAGCCCCTGCATCATCTGGGGACACCTTGGTCACACCAACTCTGGGCATCCTCCCAGGAGGACTGAGCAGACCTCTGTGCTGGGTGCCCGGTCCTTCTGGGAGCTGCACTCGAGCTGCTTCCCCAGGACCAACCTGGAGCCTGGGTGGGAGACAGGGAGGCCTGGCAGCCGTGTCCCACTGAAGGTCTTGGCTGCAGTGAAGTGGCCTCTCCCCTGGCCCCCTCTCCAGGCTGGGTGGTGCTCCCTGTCCCTCTAGCATGGGCTTGCTCCCACTGTGAGGAAGCCAAGTGCTGTGGTCTCTCTTGCCACCCTGCCACCCACCCCTGGGTGGCAGCCCCTTCCTCCAGCTCTCCTCACGACCCAGTCTGAGCACCAGCTGTTACTTGCCAGACCATGACTGACACTTGCCCCCATTTTACACATAAAAGGACTGAGGGATGGTGAAGTTGAGTCACCCATCCATGGGACATAGCCAGCCAGGAGTAGAGCTGAGACTCAGAGTCAGGCCTTGGGCTCCTGCCCTGGCTCCCACCTCCCCTCTCAGCCATGGCTTCCCTGCCTGGGCCCAGTCCAAGCCCCCAGCAGGGCGGGGGGCTGACCCAACTTCACACAGCATATCGGGCTCCCAACTCCCACCCAGGATCCCTCACCCCCTCGTCCCATCCCCCACAGGTTTTATGGAACTAATTAGGCCGCGGCAAAATTTCCTTCACAGGGATGCTCAGGAATCAATGCTGCATGTCATTGTCAGTACTTAATCCACTCCAGATAAGCAGAATTAAGCTGTACAATGAGGACATATTTCTATTAATAATGGAAAGGGCTGAGCCCCAAGCGGAACACACAGGGAGCTGGCAGTTGGATCCCATTTAATTTCAGAGGGGACAGAGGGAGGAAAGGAGACAAAGGCAGAGAAACAAAGAGGAGGCGGACGAGCCGGCCCGAGCCCTGCACACAGTAGGGCTCGTGGGGTCGCAGCCAGCCTGGCGGCTGAGTGTCAGTGTGATTCCCTCCTGGGGACTGTCCCCATGCCTGTTGGCACACTCACGCTGACACAAGTAGTGCATCCTCTGCATTGAGGTGACGCCAGGGTAGGGCCCTGGAACCTGGGCTTCCTTCACCACCCGGGCTCTTTGTCCCTCGATTACAATGAGCCAGGGCCGTAGTCCCTAGCTTCAGGCCATGGGAGCCTTGCCCACCACCAGGGGCATGGCAGTCACTCACCTAATTGGCAGGGGGTGTAACTGTCACTGTTACACGGGGCTGGGGAAGGCTTACATGGAGGGAGTTGGTGTTTCTCACTGTGCCTGAAGAGCCCCTGGGACATGGATGACAGGCGTGGCCTGGTGGGCTCTCCAGTGTGGTGAGTGACTCTGCTCAGAGGACCCAGAGTCCAGGGCGCAGAGACAGTGCCCAGGCCTGCCAGCTGACCATGCTGCTCTTCCAGCCTGGCCACTCCACACCTGCAGATCCAGCCCCTCTCTAGTCCAGACCGAGATTGCCCCCCACAGCCTCCATGTCCTCCTTCAGGGGTCCCCGTCTCTTCCTGCTCTTGTTCCCTTCATCCTCCAGTTCCCCTGTGCCACCCTTGTTCTGCCTCAGCCCTGCGTCCCCTCCTGTTTCTCTCCTCTCCTCCATGGTCTTTCTCCAGCTGCAACTGTGCATGTGAAAATCCTCTTCATCCTGCCAGGTGCCTCAAGGTCAGGACAGCTTTCTTCTCTCCTCAATCCCTCTGATCTGTGGCCCAGAGAAGCACAGTGGCCTGTCTGAGGGACTCGGAGCCCTGGTGGCTGGGGAGGAGGGGCTCATAAGAAGAATCCCAGGAAGAAAGGCCTTTGGGATGGGCCCTTCATTCAACCTAGACTCCACCTGCCAGGGGTCTCGGGTTAGTGCTGGGCATGAGGACCTTCTCTCTGACCCTGTGGCCAGGCCCAGGGTGCCCTCTGTGCTGTGCACAAGGATTCCCCACACCTGGTCCTGCCCTCCAGGGCCTCACCAGGCTCCTTCCATGTTCTTGGAGCATCAGGCTGAGAAGGCCACTGAGGCCCACAGTGCCCTCCCCTGTGTTACACATGGGAAAATAGAGTCCTCTGGGAAACCTCCCAGGCCCTCCCCAAGCCCACAGCTCTAGCTCCAGCTGGGTGTGAGGAAGTCAAGCAGGATTCGTCAGGGGAACAGGCAGGCTTGTACCTTGGACGCCTGCTCCACTGGACAGGGACTGAGCTGGTGAAGCAGCCACTAGAGCACAGGCCCTGGAGGGCAGCCCACCCTGTCCTTTCCACTGCCAACTGCAGACTCCCAGGGCAGCCCCTGGTCACAGCAGCTGCTGGGTACCTGCTTGTCAAATCTATCCACGAGCAAGAGAAAGAAACAGGGCAACCGACCTGCCTTCACAGAGCCTCACGCACAGTAGGGCCACAACAAATATCTGTGAGCTCGGTTTCCCCCTCTAAGTGAAGACACAGGCACAGATTGGCTTGGTCAAAGTTACAGAGCAGGTGGGCCCTGCAGTGAAGAGCCCAGGCCCCTGGGCCCCACCCACACTCTAACCACCTATCCTCTTAGTGCACCCCAAACACTAATGCAGCCAGCACAAGCCCATCATGAGAGCCTCTGGGGTTCTTCTGGAGGCAGCCAGCATTTTCTGGCTCCTAAAGAATGTAGAGTCACCCATTTGGCAAGGTGTGTGTTGTGACCCATTTTGCAGAGAAGAACTGAGGCTCAGAGAGGTAACTCATCCGGACAGAGCTGGAATTCTGTGACATCTCCACCCAGCCCACCTTGCCCTGCTGGTCTGCATGACAGACCAGGACTTGGGGCCCCCGGGAGATGCCTGAGGATTTCTGGCAATGTACCCCTCTTGCCCATCCAGAGGGGCCCATTATGCTTTTACAAGTCCTGATTTATATACTTGCCTGGGCCATCAGCCCTGCCAGGGATTTATAGGTTTCTAAGTGGTCAGGTCTCTGGGGAAAATACAAATAGAAGCGAATTGGGAAGGACTTGCCAGCCCCGCGGCTGAAGAACTGAAGCCTCGACTTACTCCCAGGGGCCCTGGGCCTGCAGGACAGCCGTTATGGTGATGGACTTGGATGGGGGGGGCTATTTTTAGGGCAGTCAGGTTCCACATGATTTGGAGGGTTGAGGGCATGGGGGGATGAAAGTGAGCTTCATTAGAGTCAAAAATACAGACACTGGAGGATGATCCCATCATGAGAGCCTCTGGGGCTCCTCTGGTGGCATTCTCTACTCTGGTGTGTGCGTGAAATTTTCCAGAAAAGGATTTAAGCAGTCTGGCGTGGCCAGGCTGGGATTTTCCTGCGTAGCTGGCAGCTTGGTCAAGTACGGAAGCCCAGTGTGGCTCATCCAGGCCAAGGCTTTATTAGGGGAGAGTCTGAAGCCCAGGTTCATCTTTCCTATGTGACTCTCTTATCATAGCAGAGACCATGTTGGTGGCCCTGCCTCCCAGGTGTCCAACATAAGGCCTGACACACAGTTGGGGTTTAATAAGTGCTTTTTGAAGATGATTTGTCAGTGATAAATAAGAATACAGCAGAACAAGAGCCAGGGCAAGGGGAGGTCTCTTCCTGAGGGTGCTGGCTAAGCCTGGGGGTACAGGAGACCCGGATCTTTGATCCCAACCACAAGGTTCTGCAGGGTCCCCTGGAGAAAGGGAGAGACTGTGCTACGAGACTCACAAGTGGGCTGAGTTTGGGGCAGGGGGTGAACAATTCCTAGATTTATGAAAAGCAGAGCCTCTAACATTAAATGAACTGCCATGGGATGAAAGCAAGCTCTCTGTCCCTGGGGGTGTGCAAGCGGGAGTGGGTAGAAAACCACAAAGCAGTCCTGTCACTCAGTCAAGGGCTCGATGGCCCACTGGGGACTCTGTGACAACAGCTCTCTCACATCTTCTCAGGCCGCAGTGGGTGTCCACCCCAGCACTGTTCCCAAGGCTGGACATAGGACAGGGATGTCTAGTGATTAACTGTGTGACTGCAGGGAAAGCAGGAGGCCGAGGCTGGGGTTACTACCTCAATGTTTTCT